GCATATAGATAGTTATAAAGGAGCTAAATGTTGCAAGTTCAGCAACAATAAATACATCATTGCAAATTATAAAGACAAAAACCTTTATGTATACTTTAAAAGCGGTATTTCAGTTTGCATAATTACCGTGCTATGTTTTATCATTACATTGCTAGATATGCGCGCGCAGTCTATAGCTAACGGTCAGACGGCCGGAGGCAACCATGGCTTATTGTCTTTAATCATAATTTGTCTCAGTAACTTACTATGTCCGCCTAGCAAATTAATGTTTTCATCAAAAATGCACATAATGTTAATTACCTGGTATGCTAATTAAGTGTTTCATTCATTTACATTAATGCTCACTATAATTATACAAATATGATACATGCATATTGTTTTATCTATAAGTAATTCATTGACAAAACATCGAAATTGACATTAACAGAAAAATATCATAAATAAAATAAATGTACTTAATACATGTATACACTTGTATCTCTCGCGTAATGCGTGTTTATAAAGTCATCCTAAAACTATGGTGGCTGGTTTGGTACGCTTTTGTGATTCTATTTGGCGCTAGCGAAAACATGACGGCGCGTTGTCGCACTGTCAGCGCGCCGTTTGGCGTACCCCGTTAGCGACAAGACCACAGCGCGACAACGCGACAACGCGCCATTTGACACTTTGTCGTGTTGTCGCTTGCGCCAACGAGACTCACAAAAGCGTTTCAAATCAGCCACCATACAAAACCCAATTTTTTTGTTTAATAAAATACAGCGGATATTGAACGAGTGTCTAAAGTTTAATACGAAAATATTGAACGAGTTGAATTAAGTAATTATGTTAGTATTGAAGTTGTACAAATATAATATTATGTCAATCACATGTCACATAAGAGAGATAATCAAATTTTATTGACATAAGCGAGTAATGCTGTCACGTCAAACTATGTCCAGAGTCGTGCAATATCGGTTTGTTTATTACATATCCGTGCCGATTTTGCGACTCCGTAAAAACGGTATTGCACGGCCGTGCAGACGTCTTTTGCATTACACAAACAAAGCGTAAAGACGCGCTAAATTTTAGCGTTACACTATAGGCACGTCGATGAAAAATGATTCTGTTTCACTTTAAACGGTCTTTACTTTGAGTATGTAATAATAGAATATTATATTCGTGTAGGTTCACTACTGAATTCATTCAACTCGTTCAAAAAATTCAGTATTGAACTTACATTCATTCAATATCCTCTATTTAGTTTTGAATGTGGAATGAGAATGTGATAAATACACACATATGAATTATCACGACGCCTTAGTCTATATATGAAATACAAACACATATATATTTTTTTTCTCTAAAATAATTACGCTAAGTTTGCTTTAAATTGCAAACAATTCTTGATCTTGATTCGAAAGTTTTTGAAGAAATAAAAGATAATGGCACAGTTATAAACACGATCAATCAGGAAATGTCGGCATAAGACGTCGCTGGTAAAACAGGAAAAAAACGTTTTCCAGATTTTCAAACATTACAAATCATAATGTAATAATAATAATAATCATGTTTGAACATTACAATGTAGTATACTAATGATGTAATTAGATCTACTTATTTTAAAATACTTTTTTATTTTCCAATTTTCTGTTATTATTAAATTATATTTTAACGATTGTTAGATTATATTAAATTTGTGAAAAAGTAAGTATTTACTGAAGACTTCAGATTCTGTTTGACTTGATATATACTTTATGCTACATATAATGTCCCTAACACTGTCCTATATAGACTAGGTCAATGTAACAAAAGGTAAAAGCAACATCTATGATATAACTTGAAATGATAACATTCAAGATTGAGTTTGACAAGCTTAAAAATGGAAAATAGAATGTAACATAAGATAACATTACAACACAGGTGCTGATGTTAAATGTCTTAATTATAATTATAAACATCATCAATGACCATGCTAAACTAATTACAACTATACATTTACCTCACATAATGTTACAGTATGAAAAACAAAATATAACCGCCTTTGGTGATGAAATATTCAAATACGTACATGTATACATGTTTTGTTTTTTTCTTTAAAAAATGTTCGTTTGGTTGTTGATTAAGAGTTTGTGTTTTAAAAAAATTAGTCAGTCAATGAGGATTTTAAGATGAAAATGTACTCAGAAAATGAAGATTTTATGATAAAACTGTAGTCAGTTAGCCATTAAGGATTTTAAGATAAAACTGTAGTCAGTTAGCCATTAAGGATTTTAAGATAAAAAATGAAGTCAACCAGTCAGTAACGAAATTTAAGATAAAACTGTAGTCAGTCAGCCATTTAGGATTTTCAGATAAAAGTGTAGTCATGCAGTTACTGAGGATTTTCAGATAAAATGTAGTCAGTCAGCCAATGAGGATTTTAAGATAAAACTGTAGTCAGTCAGCTATTGAGGATTTCAACATAAAAAATGTAGTCAGTCAGCCATTGAGGATTGTTAGATAAAGTGTAGTCAGTCAGTTAATGGGGATTTTAAAATAAAAATGTTGTTAGTCAGCCCTTGAGGATTTTAAAATGAAACTGTAGTCAGTCAGCCATTGATGATTTTAAGATAAAACTGTATTGAGTCAGCCATTGATGATTTTAAGATAAAACTGTATTGAGTCAGCCATTTAGGATTTAAAGATAAAAATGAAGTCAGTCAGCCATCGAGGATTTTAATTTTAAAATGTTGTCAGTCAGTCATTGAGGGTTTTATGATAAAAATGAAGTCAGCCAACAGTAGCGAGCCTGATAAGACTGCACGGGCACTAGAGGAAAAAACTGATTACTTTCGATTTCAGTATGTTAAATGTCAAATAGATACAGTCCGCGGCACTAATCTTGTATCCTATCAGAATACACCATGAATATAACATTATCAACAGACAAAAATCAATTAATACATTTACAACTGGTTTGAATCAATATCTGATAAAAAATCAGTATAAACAATTATCAATATTTCTAAGAATCAAATAATAATAATAATAATAATAATAATAATAATAAAAAATAATAATAAAGCAAACAAACAAATAGTACGTGCGCATTGTGCATAATGGGCGCTACGCCTATGTGTATGAAAACCCTGATCTTCTTAAAACATATAATTTCAAATATGAATTGATGAAAATAAAACAACAACAAAAAAAACTGGTGACCCTTCTGTAATACACACAGTAAAAGACTAAAAGACCCTGTTAAATAGCGAGATCCTTATGCATATAGCCCTTTTCCATTTATGTTACACATTCAATATAATCATCACACCGATAGCGAACAGAGCGAACGTGTGTCTATGCCAAGTGAACATTAGGGAGTTACACTTAAAGTGTAAGTTTACATAATGCGATTCATCCTTACAAACTGAACACTGGGATTAGAAATTGTGTTTTAGGGTTAAGCTTTATGGCGTTTATAAAATCAAAAGAAGTTTTAAGGAATAACCCAACAATGTATGTCCGATAAGAACGTCAGTGCGTGTGTGGTACATTTTTAAAAATTCGTACGTTACCCTAACAGTAAAATTATGGAAATTTCAATTGAAAAAAAATTATTACCATTCTCTGTCCCTTTTAGCGAGAATCTGAAAAATGGTTATAAATCATTTAACACAAGAAAAATACCTTCATTCAAAAGAGTACATTAATATTCACCAGTTGCACAAAATGTCCGATGCTAAGCAATGATGATAATATTAATAATAATAATACATAATACATAACTTATGCAACATTAGTCTATAATGTTGATTAACATAAAGTTGACATACAAAAATATATTTATACAACGGTTATCAAATCATTGCAAATTGCAAAAATTCACAATTAAACATTTGATGCTTAGCAAAAGTAGAGAAGGCTACTTTCCTAAAATCTCATTAAAATGGAACGAAACAATAATAACATCTACATACGTTTTAGATTAAATGTTTCAGTTATTATCACGTATAGAAAAAAAAGCAAAAACAATGTCGGCAACGGTACATTAGAAACATTTCTTTTACAAATTCAATACATTCAGTATATTTTTAGTATTTTGTCTTTTTTATTTATTTCTATTCTATTACTTTTATACTTTTAACTGCAGATGGGATTTCTTATGTCATAATGGCATTCACAAATAAAGCTTTTACAAATTTTTAGAATGATCAGATCTTTATTTCCTCTCATCAATTTTTGCTTATTCTTTGAATTTTATGTACTTAAACTATAGATTAATCATTTGATAAAGATAAAAAATATATAAAAAAATGCTTATAAATAAGCAGGTACTAGGGCCGTAAGGGATGTTGAATTTTTCCATCATGTATCCGTCGTGTACAGAATCAAATCAAACCGAGTCGGCAACTTTTGTGTAATCATGTTGTATTGATGCTTCCAAGGGACAACTTTTTCTCCAGAATTTTATCCTGATATTTCAATCATGAATTTTACATTTTTGTAATTAACAGAACGCCCATGAGTGAAATGTAAGTCCGATGCTATGGAATTATAATAAAGTAAAAAGGTCATTTATAAATTTCGTTAAAAAGAACGGAATCCAAAAAGAGCGACTAAGGAAAAATCTTGCAAGCAAATATTTTTACACATTTACATTTATTAATCCTGATGACGGTCATAAAAGACTGAAAAAATCTTGCAAGCTAATTTTTTTATACATTTACATTTATAAATCTTGATGAAGGTCATGAAAGACCGAAAACCAGTAGATCCTTGAATAAACCAGTTTACAAAACATCCTGATCTCTTGATTTACTTGTTGTAATTACATTTACATATATATTAGGGCCTATAGATCTTTGAAATACTATCAATCATTTAACAACTAAAAGTAAATTAAAGAATTAATAAAACCATTTGTTTTCAAATAGGATTATTGTGAAGAATAAACTCCACGATTAAACACGAGAAGACGACATTTCAACGAAGCAGCTACTGACATCCATTCCTACCCCAGAGTCAGTCGAATACGCTTTTTGTTCTGTTTTGAACTGGCACATTTTTAATTCCGTACAACCAGCAGCTCTTAAAATATCACAAATTGGTGTGACAAACACGAGACCATGCATACCCCCTTCAACAATACCGATAGCGACTGAATCTTGTTCACCTTCCATCAAAACTAACGCTCCAGAATCACCAGGCTCTGCAAAAGGATCGTGTCCAATTGGAAGAATAACAATTTGATCTTTTAAATGAAATCCAAAGCTCTGACAATGTCATTTGTCATCTTCGCACTGCAGCTCCTTGCAATTCAAAGCTACCTCTCGTTATTCCAGAACTCATGCCAAGCTTGTAAACTTCAGTCCTAGGTTTTATGTTGGCCATCTCACAAATATCGCCGGAATTGAAACAAAGTGGATGATCATCATCAAATCCTGACAATAGAAAAACATCAAGATTATCAGTGTTGGTTTTGTCGTGACGCGGCTCATTTTTGTTCAGACTGAGTATGTCGCGCGGATATAGGTCACAGACTACACGCGCATTAGTCTGTAAATATAAAAATAGGAGCGTTGCCTTACGTAACAAAAACCTAATCGACATATCAAGACAAATTGAGATAATAATAAAAATCGTTTGGTGTATATTAACTACGTTTAAATCAACTTTTCTCCGCCTATTAGTTTTTTATTTTATCATTTTTGAATCAATTTGTCATATTGGAATATAATAATTTTCTCACACTTTCTCGTAGCCTGAAGTTATATACAAAAGAAGATACTTTAAATCAACTTTTCCTTTTCTTTATGAAAGGATCCTCACTTTTTTTAAAATGTGATCTTTGCTAGCCTACTTTGTCCTATTTTTTACCCGAATTTAATTGTTTCATAATTTTTGGAATGTATCATGTTGTCACTTTTTGTGAACTGATGAAAAATAAATATATTTTGACTTTGACTTTGAAAAAAAAGTAAATTCAATTATGAGGACACTGATCAATAATGTAAGGTTATCATTATGCAAAGTACAAGAGTCAATTATAACTAGATAGTCGTGAATGGAAAAAGAAAAGTAAATGAAGAGAAGTATCTATCAACACCGCCATTTACAATATGCAGCTACTTAAGATTACCGCTATAAAAATAGCAAGTTACATTCATATAAACATTTTGCTCCATTTGAAATTGTTCTTAATTTTGCTTCTTTTGATATTTTTTATGCATTTATGCTCAGGAAGACTGTTATAGACCAATTGCTACCATTTTTGTATTATTGATTCCGCCTAATGATATACTGAAAAAATGTAAATCTTAAAAAATCAATGTAAGAGGTTTGCAAATGTTTCCAGATACTATGGAAATATTTCTCCTTATAGTTGTAGATGGTATCGCTATCCTGTCCGAGTCAAATGCAATTTAATCTATAAAAAGTTTGCTTTAAACCAATTTAGTCTTATTTCTTTCTACTTTACTTGGGTGGTTACTACTCAACTACTATATAATCATCCTCCGGATATGTTGTCTGCTTTTTTAACTTGTCTTTTGACCATTGAACGCATTGTCTGTGATATGCAGGCGGACACTTTTCAAATTTTCATTATATTTAGTTTCTCGTTTGTTTCTCGTTCAGGGCACAAGCATTCCTTTTAATTTGGGGACCGCACGCCGTTTCTAATGGAATTGCACTTTCGAGTCACATTGAAGTTTACATATTAACTGCCGTTTTAACACAAAATGTGTATTTTTTAAACTCACAATTTCACCGATTTCTTGTTTGTATGACGAATTCTATTAAAAGATAATGTTAGAGGGGTTGGACGGAATCCTCTTTTTAAGTACCGTCCATGAACTTGCTCAATCACACCGAGTCTGCAACATTTTCAATTTAAATTTCTCTCTACTTTAGTATATCATTACATGTAATGCAAAAGTTCATGCATTCAAAAAGGACGAACGGATGTGTAGCAAGAAGAGAGAGATGGTCAAATGTAAACAATAATATATGGATATTTAGTGGTTTTAATTATGTCGGTATTCATTTTTCAAATAGGCTATTTCTGTTAAGATAATAGAAGCTTGACAATTAAGACCAGGAAAATCCTTATTTATATATCTTATTTATTCTAAAACCTTTCTTGTCTATCTGCAAAAATATTTCTAATAAAGGTTTTATCAGTGCTTCTATGTGGAGCAGAATTATGGGGAGTGAAACTGCAAAAGTATATTTAATTTGTACAAAATTATGTCTTTAATCAAGTCTTATATCTTATATCAAATATAAGTTCAACAAAAATTTTAATCAACAACGGGAATTTAGGAAACGTATATGTCAATATCAAGCTCCTGAAACAGATAGAAGAAACTAAATCATCAATAGTAAGAGGGAGAATTGTATTCCTCGTCATTGGAACATTTATATGAAGCTTCATTAAATTTAGAAGAAAACGTTTTAGCCATTGATATCGCCATATCGTTTTCTTTTTGGATATTTTGATTTAAAGCGAACAGTAGGTTGTTTTTATGTCTACTTCTTAGTTTTAAGGGGGGGGGGAATAATTCTGGAAATATGAATACTTGATTTATAGACCTTGTCATATAACTATGATGTTGGAGTTTGAAGTACATTCTTTAAGAAATGAAGAATTTTGTGTAAAAATATTAATATCTAGAAAAATTCTAAAAAACATTTCAAAGAATATACATTTTGGAAATAGCAAACGTAAAGAATGTTTATCTTCTCACATATGATTTGAGTGATAATAAGAAACATATACTTTAATCAGAAATCTGCACGCGGTCGCCGACGCTTAGTGAGTAAAAAAGCTCTCAGAATACTCCCAATAGTCAAGCTTAAAATGGTGTGCATTATCGCCAGACTGCCATCTTTCTTTGAGGTTTTATAAAATTATTTACAGTACTTTTTGAATTATCAAAACTATTGTTACTTTGGCTATACATGTACTTTAAGTTTAATTGTTGACAAAACATCAAATTATTTAACATAGGAAGACAAAAATATGTGCATAATTTCCAGACTGCAACTACCTATATGCCAAGTTTCATAAAAATATTTTCAGTTTTTTTTGCTATATCACGGGACTTAGTTTTTGTGTATAATTTGCCATATTTTAAGGATATTTATTGTCATAGCAAACACACTTTTCAAGATCGGAACTAAAAGAAAACACGTTAATAATCTCTAGATCGTATTTATAAATATTTAAAGTTTCAGAAAAAATCAGTAACTTTTGCGTTATCACAGGATCCAGTTTTATGGACACGGAATGACGAACTGAATGGCGGAGGGCAAACCTTAAGTCTCCTCCAGTTCAACCGATATATGCTGATCATTATTCAATCAAATCAAACTAGAACTGCCACTATCATGGCGTGAATACCCCCGCATACCACTTTGTCAGAATCGACAGTGGCCATTTAGAGGTCAAGGACAACCTCCCTGCCAAATCTGAGGTTACTAAGCCAGTGCATTGCTAAGTTATGTATTCTACATGCTTCAAATGTGAAAATGTCAAAATCAATACATTGCGGACAGGACATTCTTTAGCAATTGAGAAGAAAAGCTTTTTTTCTCAAGGTCCCTGTGACCTTGACCTTTGACCCAGTGACCTCAAAATCAATAAGGGTCACCTTATAGTCATGATCAACATCCATGCCAAATATGAAGACTGTGGGTCAAAGGAATCTTAAGTTAATGGGTGGACAAACTTTTTGAAGTCAAAGTCCCTATGACCTTGACCTTTGATCTTGTGACCTCAAAATCAAAAGGGGTCATCTACTAATCATGATCAACATCCATGCCAAATATGAAGACTGTGGGTCAAAGGAATCTTAAGTTATTGGGCAGACAAACTTTTTGAATTCAAAGTCCATGTGACCTTGACCTTTGACCGGGTGACCTCAAAATCAATAGGGGTCATCTACTAATCATGACTAACCTCCATGCCAAATATGAAGCCTGTGGGTCAAAGGAATCTTAAGTTATAGGGCGGACAAGCTTTTTGAAGTCAAGGCCCCTGTGACCTTGACCTTTGACCTGGTGACCTCAAAGTCAATAGGGGCCATCTATTGATCATGACTCACCTCCATGCCAAATATGAAGACTGTGGGTAAAAGGAATCTTAAGTAATTGGGCGGACAAGCTTTTTGAAGTCAAGGCCCCTGTGACCTTGACCTTTGACCTGGTGACCTCAAAGTCAATAGGGGTCATCAACTAATCATGACTAGCCTCTATGCCAAATATGAAGACTGTTGGTCAAAGGAATCTTAAGTTATTGGGCGGACAAGCTTTTTGAAGTCAATGCCCCTGTGACCTTGACCTTTGACCTGGAGACCTTAAAATCAATAGGAGTCATCTTCTGATCATGACTAACCTCAATGCCAAATATGAAGACGATGGGTCAAAGGAATCTTAAGTTAATGGGCGGACAAGCATTTTAAAACCAAGGCCCCTGTGTCCTTGACCTTTGACCTGGTGATCTCAAAATCAAAAGGAATCATCTACTAATCATGATTTACCTCCATGCCAAATATGAAGACTGTGGATAAAGGAATCTTAAGTTATTGGGCGGACAAGCATTTTGAAGTCAAGGCCCCTGTGACCTTGACCTTTGACATGGTGACCTCAAAATCAATAGGGGTCATCTACTAATCATTACTAACCTCAATGCCAAATATGAAGACTATGGGTCAAAGGAATCTTAAGTTATTGGGCGGACAAGCTTTTTAAAACCAATGCCCCTGTCACCTTGACCTTTGAACTGGTGACCTCAAAATCAAAAGGAATCATCTACTAGTCATAATTAACCGCCATGCCAAATATGACGACTGTATGTCAAAGGAATCTTAAGTTATTGGGTGGACAAGCTTTTTGAAGTCAAGGCCCCTGTGACTTTGACCTTTCACCTTGTGACCTCAAAATCAAAAGGGGTCATCTACTAATCATTACTAACCTCAATGCCAAATATGAAGACTATGGGTCAAAGGAATCTTAAGTTATTGGGCGGACAAGCTTTTTGAAGTCAAGGCCCCTGTGACCTTGGCCTTTAACCTGGTGACCTCAAAATCAATAGGAGTCATCTTCTGATCATGACTTACCTCCATGCCAAATATGAAGACTGTGGGTTAAAGGAATCTTAAGTTATTGGGCGGACAAGCTTTTTGAAGTCAAGGCCCCTGTGACCTTGACCTATGACCTGGTGCCCTCAAAATCAATAGGGGTCATCTACTAATCATGACTAACCTCCATGCCAAATATGACGACTGTAGGTCAAAGGAATCTTAAGTTAAAGTTATTGGGCGGACAAGCTTTTTGAAGTCAAGGCCCCTGCGACCTTGACCTTTGACCTAGTGACCTCAAAATCAAAAGGGGTCATCATATGAAGACTGAGGGTCCAAGGAATCTTAAGTTATTGGGCGGACAAGAAAAAACCGACGGACGGACGGCCGGACAGACGGACGGCCGGACGGACAAGCTGATTCCAGCATACCCCCCCCCCCCTTACAACTTTGTTGTGCGGGGGTATAATAAGCTCTAATCATTTGGAAACTATGAAGATCCATAATTAAATAAGAAATTAATTGTACCTGCTTGGATGTCATTTAAAACTTTGGGAAAGCTGCCATCCTTTGGTTTTCTGTCCCGTATACTGAAAATAGCAACTTCCATACCCGACATGATATCATCTCCTTCATTGTAAACAACAAGAACTACTCTACCAAATGCTGGAGAATGGCAGACCGTGGGCTGATGAACCAATTTGTCCATTTTAAACGGTGTATTTTCTTTGATCATTTTAAGCTCATCGAGAGTGTAGATAACATGGGCACACGTTATTCCACAAAGTCCATGTTGTGGATGTTCAATGAATCCTCCAAGGGTTCCTATGCTTCCGTTTTCGATGTTTGCCTGAATTGCTAGACCAATCTTCAGATGTTCATGGAACTCGTTTGGTCCTCCGAAATATGGTTCGAATTCTCCCCCAAAAACATCCGTTCGAAACCCATCTATATCTTTCTTAAAACGTTCCTCTGCCAATGGAATCAATCCTTTAGCTGTCACAAACAGCGCTATACATGGTTCTTCTATAATTTTATGTTGGCCTGATTTGTATCCAAAGGACTTTTTCAAGCTAGGTAATATCACATTAAGATTACTATGCCTTTTAAAAAGATCGTCAGCGTTTTTGTTGATGCATTTTCTTAGCTGTTCGAAAACCTTGCCATCAGATTGATTCTTTGTTTCAACTTTCCTTTCATAGACAGCAGCATATTCTCCGTCAGCACTCGGTTCGTTTTCAGATATTTTATAACATTCATTATCTTTAAATATGAAAAATTGAGACGCCCTCTTTAAGAAAACTATAAAAACAATAGACGTAGAGTCAGATTTGTACGACGGCAAAACGTCGATGACATCTTCTGAATTCTCCTTTATATGTTGGCTTATCTTAGAGCAAATATTTGAAAATATTGCTGAAGTTCTTCCAAATACACGGGACGCCTTATTCAGTTCACTTTTGGACGGTAGAATCTTCTTTTCTAGTAATATCTTTGCATCAGACTCACTTCTTCTTTCAATGCATGTATCCCAAGATTCTATAATGAAGGTCCCAACATATTTATTTCAGCATAGCTGTACTTAATCTTATTTTACCAACCTTTTACCTTATGAAATTTTAAGTTACAAAACCATCAGCTGTAAGCTGGTTTATCATTGGTCAAAAAAGAAAACGTTATGATATCTTTTGACAAAATTAGAGTTCTTTAGTTCAAAGGTCTCTAACAATAAAATTGTCATAAGAACTTTGTTTTGCACTTTTAAATTACATGTTAAAAGACATAACAAATAGTTAAAGGAGCGATGTGTTCAGTATAGTCAACTCATCTTAGATGTAAGTCTACATATGAATTATGCTAAATTTGTTTGGCTTCAAGGGTAATGATTTAAAGAAAACATGGTAGAGGCTCATAAGGCGATGTAAAACTACAGACAAGAACAAGTAATTTTTTTATTATATCACATAAATATGAAACCTTAAACGGAGTACATTTAAGTTGTAGGGCCATGAATAATACACATTATAGAGAGAAGGTCCAAAAACAATTATTTAGTGTTTAAAAGCATGTTTATTGTACAAGAGAGTTGTTTTATTTCATGTACTTACTATCGTTTTGATAGAGCATAGAATCAGAATCATGGCGGATATTTGTCTTGCTCATTGTTTCCTCTTCAGTTCTGCAAAATAAGAGTAAAAAATATCATAGCGGCAGCATCATTGAATTAGAAAACCAGTTATATGTAAAATGTTTAATTAAGTACGATCAAAAGTTAAGTTCGTTTACATAATCTTGAAATATTTTTATAGTCCAGTCAATTTGAAAAAAAAGGAAAACCATATAACAAGCCAAAACCAAATTTTTGGTTTAATATGGAAATTGAGCCTTGAAAATCTAATATTGCGGACATATTGCCAAGATAGCGGCTATACATGTTTATAACTTCAAAAACGCAGTGTCATCACTGTATGGTGCACGACCACATGACGGAATTTTTGCGGACAAATGTTAGATAATTATTATACTTATGACATGTTAAATAGTATATCCTATGTTCCGTTCTTGATTCCATGCTTGATTTCAATACTATGAACTTTTCAAAATTTTCAAAAGAAGCAAACCCAATAAAGGCTTATATTTTCTTTTAATCTTACCTATAAACTCTTAAAGATAATATGCCATAGATCTAGATCTACTAAGCCAGCTACATATATGATACATATACATGTATATTTATTAGATATGTTTTTGGCACATGCACTGTTTGCTGCACAACTTCAGAGATCGTATGCTTGTTGAACAGTAATAATGGCGACATCTGTCTTCCATACAAAAATAATTGATGTAATCATTATTTTGACACTGTGTCAATTATGACTAGAAACTTCATACAAGTTATAATTTTATATCAACAGAGTGTGAAAATAATTTGTGCCTTAATGAGATCGTGGATAAATTTCTAGGCATTTTTTTTTGAAGTATTTTGCTATTGTTGATACACACATTGAATGGACTGTTATTCACCAGATACGGTGGCTGACCTGTGCTCTGATAAATTCAAGTGGCTTACTGTCGTGATCCAGAGTGAAAACTACCAATGACAGTACCACCATCACCAGATGAAAGAATTAATACAGAAGACACAGTTCTGGCAGAATCATTTCACAATAATGATATATGAATTTTGAAAATTAAAGAGGCAGCGGAAGATAAAATCAAAACTACAATTTCATTTAATGTCACTGGCATGTCTTTGATGTAAAGATATATATTTATATAACCTTTTAATTTCAAAATTAGATTGAAATAGTATAACCGCATCAGTCTTGTTTATTTATATATATATATACTATCAATGGACAATCTAGAATAATATACTACTTATAAAGAATAGTCCAGAATGAACATTAACAGAACTTTCTTGAAAGAAGATGAATGAATTTAAACATCAAATAAATAAAATTATTAAAAATGAAAGGGGCATGAGAAGTTATCGAACCCACGACATCAAGCTCTACCTACTAAGCTATTCAGGAAACGGATACTTTTTAACACACTTTTTACATATTCAAAATAAAGTCTATAAACATAACAGTATCTACTGTGTTGATGCGACGTTAACAAACAACAAATAAAAATAACAAATATATAAAATCGAAAAAGTAAGAATAACGCGTACATCTGGCCAATGAAACAGCTTGTTTAACCGACACGTCATTATTCAGTTTATTTACTGTTATTGAGAAATTAAGAACAAATAATATATAAAGAATATGCAAATGTTATAAAAACAAGTTGACTGTGTATAATGAATTTATAGAATGAATGTAAAATCGAAAAGAGTATTGCCACGCTAAAGGAAAAGTGCAAATAATGGAAAATTCAAAAGCACACGTCTTCCTCTTAACTATAACATTCGTTTTGATATTTATTACTTGTTTACTTACAAAACTTGGTGTTCATCATGACACATTTCTCAATTATAATTCAAAAACGAAAAGTCAAAGTGTTGGAAAATTGGAAAATAAAAAAGAAGCGAAAACTGGAAATACAACTGAAGTAGAGAAAAACGGAACGTGCGAGGTATGAATTTTCTTAAATATAGTTAATAATATATACTAGTGTTTTAAATATTTACATTTGATATAAAGTACAAATGTTCATATTTAACATTTACGTACCCATACTCCAATTCATAAACAAAACTATTAAATTAAACCCTACTCTCATAGTTTAATGTGAGTTTAGTTTTGATGCCTTATTAATTGGTAGTTTTAAAACAACACACTTCTCTTCCCGCCCGTCTTAGCTTAAAAGCCAGAGCATCCCATTCGGATAGCCTCCATCCTTTATCCATGACAGTTGATCCCGGACATTGGTCTTACTGGTGCTTATGTCTCTTAGAAATCATATGAGATATGACCTAAAACCGTACAAGCTATCGTGTAAAAATAACATCAACATGACTAGGAATATGTGCAGTATATTCCTTAAAAATTAGACCATAATAATAATTTATTGAACTCCACACACTAAATGGTCAGTATGGTCTGTCCGACGCACGTTCGAAACATCGTTGACATTGTGACAACCTTTGACCAAATACGCATCATGTGTGGCAGATGACTATCTATTGCCCTATTCTAAAATGTTTAGCACCATTTATACAAAATCGACCACGGCGACAATATCATGTGACTTTTATGGTCTGCTTTGGGTTTTAAAGCCAAAAGTGAGGTCATAAAATAACTTATTTTTCCACAGTAACATTTTTTCCACTCATATGTGTTAACCACACAGTGAATTGCTGTTTGGGGGAAAAATCAATATTTTGAGGTAAAATGAAAAAGTTATCCGAACAAGCGGTTATACTTGAAAAAATACTGATTTTTGCCCAAATTAATGTATAGCCAAAACAAATTTAGATTATTCCATTGTATGAGCTGGGCTTTACATTTGACCCTTTTAAAAAACTGAAAATAAAAAGTTATAAATGAAAGCATACCTTACCGACTTTTGTATTAGCTTTCTGACCCACACACATCACAAAGTATAACGTTGATGTTTAATACAAAAATTCCTTAGTCATGTAAATGTATTTTACATATAGAAAGACGGAAAGATAAACAGACCGTGTTATATAGAAATTTCCATATGTCTTCTTGGAAAAAAGAAGAAAAGGAATCTTTTTGGATCCATAATTTAAATATTATAGTCCCAAATGGCCTTTATAATAAGGTATTGTTTGATTTATATAAACATATGTTACATGAATATAAAATGTATTTCTATTACAGTAAACTCCGCTTATAACGAACTCATTGGGACATTCAAAATCTGTTCCTTATATCCGGAGTTCCGTGTAAGCATATAACAAATTAGTTCCTTGTATCAGAAGTCTTTATAGCGAACAGTTTTACATATAACGAACTAATTGTTTACCATAGTCCTCCATTTAGAAGAGCATTTGATTAAGAGAAATAACTCTTGGTTCGTCATTGTTGTCTCCCTTATATTGATTAAAAAAAAGGAATAATTGCAATGTTGTTTTTTTTTAATATAATTTTTATTTATATATATATATATCTATAAGATATGTGATATGTACCATATATGCAATATTGTTATTTATGAACGATACAGTATCATGCACAAAAATAATCACTTTGCTTTGAAGAAGTCGCTGTTTTTAGTTTGGAAATGTTTACAACTCTTCAAGTTAAATTCAATATCCAATGAATTTTTATGTGCATTAGACTCGAAGTATGACCTAATCTTGTGCAAACAATCAATAGCTTCATTTTTTGACACAACCGGCAGATCATCTAAATAGATCTCGTCTTCGGAAGATTGACTGTCATCGTCATTTTTTGTTCCTAATATATCCGCTACATTCGGCCAAGTTTTAATCTGTGCCGATGAAAACGAAAGTAGAAAATGCGTGATTTGTTTACGGATAGCCGATATTTTGGAGTTCGTTATAAAAGTGTAATTTTCTGTACTTTTTATAGCATTGGGACTAAAAAATTAGTTCCTTATAAGCGATAATTCCTTATAACCGTGTTCGCTGTAACCGTAATTTTTTACATTAAATAAAGAAGGGCAAAATTCGGGCCAAAAAAATTGTTCCTTATAACCGGAAGTTCGCTATAACCGTGTTCGCTATATGTGAAATTTACTGTATTATCTTTTTATCAACACTGTCTAATGGACATTAATATTACTATAGATCCTTTTTTTATTAATGTACCAGCTTTATTTATAACATGAATATTTGTTTCTACATGTTATATTATTTTAGCGCAAAACGCCATAACGTATTTCGCGCGTTTTACGCGTGTTCCTTGGCGGTGCTAGGGGAGGTGGACGGTAGTTTACACTTGACGTTACCGTCCAATCAAACCGAGCCTGCAACATTTTCAATTTTGCCGTTTTGAACTTTCTTAAGGGATTCTTATTTTATCTGTTTTATCGCCACACAAGCGTTGTTTGTGCCGTGAGGAGGTTGTAAAAAGTCGCCGCGTACATTAAATGTTTCCGATCCTAAAAGATTGTTCAGCACGACATAATTTTTTTGTTAATGGTATCTTTGAGTTTCAACTATTTGGCTTTTTCGATTTTGGTGGTTCCAATATTCCTACTTAAATAATGTAGAAACACTCTTAGGATATATTGCCTGCTTTTGAACTTTGTCTTTTGACGTCTTATCTGTGATATGCAGGCTTCATAACCTCTGATCCCCTTTCAAAATTCCATTTTGTTTAGTCCTGCCCATTGTTTTCTACGCTTTTAATAATTTGGGAAGCTTACGCCGCTTTTGGCACGGACGAGTCACATTTAAGGTTCAATGATAACCACCGTATGAACACATCTGCGGGTGTTTATAATTTCAAAATTTTACCATTTCATGTTTAAATGTTGCATTTTGCTTAAGCCGGTGCTAGATGGCGTGAACGCTAGTTTCCACTTGACAGTACCATCCATTAACGGGCTCAATCAAGCCTGCAACATTATCAATTTTGCCGTTTTGGACTTTCTTAAGGGATTCTTATTTTCTCCATTTTTCTGTTATGAAGTCGCTTATGGTAATTTTGCTATGTTTTCCATTGATGAAGGCGTCCAGTCTGCAAAATATAATAACTGAATGTTCGTGTTTGTGTGGCATGTTTGGTAATTGTCTTCATAAACACATTATATTTTTCTTTCACTTCTAATGTTAATATTTCATAAACACACAAGACAATATGAAAAACACTATTCATTTGAAGCATGGACTTTGTGTTAGTCGACTATAAAGATCACTCTTTACTGATGTGTTGTATTATTGTGCTTTTTTTAAATGACGGACTTTTAATATATGTTTTTTTGAATTGTGGTAACTAGCAATTATGTAACTTATATTTTTGTTTTTAGAACAAATTTCTTTTATTTTTCAGTTTTGTTTCAAACGTGTTCCAAATCTCATTGTACAGTACGGCACACCTCGTACAGCGACAACGTTACAATTTCATTTATTGTGTTTAATGATGGCTTTTCTACATGAGGATGAGAAGAATTCTGTCGGATGTTATAGTAATAGGTTTGAAACAAACAATAAGTATAGAGTTATAAAACAACACAGCATACCCGATAAAGCGTTGTCTTTCATACCATCTGGTTCTTGGGTTTTTATGACTTCCAAAGGTCCATTGACAAAGCCAAAACAAGACCAAGTGAGAAAACTGAAACAAAAGCGTATAGTTATTCCATATATTGCAGATGTTAATCTTGTCTCAAAAAGGGGTCATTTTATCGCATATGAATATCAAAAATTCTTTGGTTTATCAGATGAAAATATGACACATGTCGTGGAATATTTGCGATACTGGGATATTCTTCGGGTTTGTTGTGGAAAACAAATGTCAGCGGATTGGCGCAATCATCTAGCACCTAAGAAAAATTACAGAAATCATCACGACCCTCACAGTCTATCATATCCTGCTTGTGAAATGTATAATATAAGTAATGTTGAAGTCCTGCTTCTTAAAACACATGCATACAAGACATTTTCCAGTCACTCTTCATTAAGGAACTTTCTTGGAAAACCGTCACAAGTTGACGGAACTTTGGATGGAAGTTACTGCAAACGCTGCAATGCTAAGATTTCGAAATTTAAATTGTCTTTTAATCAAAGATGCGTATAATGTTTTGCGTTTCAAAATGGCATAGGTATGGTAACGATGATGGTAAACCGCGAATTGTGTACCCATGAACAAGAGGAAATTAACACAATGCTTTAAACAACTCTTGAGCGGAAAGCAACCTGTCCTTTTCATGTTTTTATTTATCTGAAATGCATTGTCATTGGATTTTAAGAAGTTTAATCGGCTGTAAAGCAGACGAGTCTTTTAGACTTATGAATAAGACGCATGATTTACTTTGGAATAACACGATTAACTTTGCGAGTCGTCAGTAATACAAAAGTATATAAAACATTCACATTCATCAGCACTACACTCCTGGGTCAATTTCAGATTTCTTGCTTTGTTGCGAAACATTTTCATTACATTTTTCTCAAATGGAAAGATAATATTGTTTTATTTGGGAGATGACATTTTGCAAATCCTGAAAGTTTGTTAAATATATTTTTAGTCATAAGGTGTTTTGTTTTGTTTTGTTTTTTTCAAACGAGTTCTGAAAAATGTTGAAGGTGAATTTCTGGGGAAAAGTTTGATCTGTGGATGGTTTTAAATTCAAAAATTCACCATGACCATTATTAAATGTTGAATTCTGCTTTCGCCGGTGCTTATTAGGAAAGTATTTTCAAGGCATGATAATATTTCACATGAATGTAAACTTTTTTGGAATACATAAAGTATAATCTAAATGTAAGTTTATTGTATGCTATGATTTATTTGCTTGTCTTTTCCTGGTAACTTGTTGTATGAAAAAATAGCAAATTTGCATATGAAAGCGATTACATGGATATTGTTATGTCTTCTACATGGGTATTTCAGTAGGTCTAGTAGATGGACTTTGTGCAGAGATTATCTTTGTTAGTCTAGTTTACTGAGCTTGAAACAGAGGTGACCTTTGAAAGTTGGGTAGATGTAGATGTACTTTGTACTGATGTGATATCTTATTAGGTCTAGCACTGATACAATGTGCAGAAGTTCTTTGTAAGTCTTGTAAATGTACTATGTACAAAGGTTATCTTTGTAAGACTAGATGTGCTATGCACAGAGGTTATCTTTGTAAGTTTAGATGTACTATGTACAGGGGTTATCTTTGTAAGTCTAGATGTACTATGTACAGAGGTTATCTTTGTTGGTCTAGATGTACTATGTTCAGAGGTTATCTTTGTAAGTTTAGATGTACTATGTACAGAGATTATCTTTGTAAGTTTAGATGTAATTCAATGATACGTGATTAAGTAATGAAAATTAATGGAAATTGTTAGTGAATTCGGATAGTCGCTGAATCGGATAAGAGTAATCAACAATTGACAAATGCTGGTACGAATATCTAATCATGTCTCGGCCTCCTGTTTAACATCGTAGGTTAACTTACCCCAGAGGACATAATATTTTTGCATATTTATTTAATCTTATTTCTTTATTTTTGTATTCATGCATTAAAATGAACGATAAGAGACTTCAAAAGTAAAATATCTAAATTGCATTTCAAATGCATTCCCGTTTTCTTTCCTTAATCTATTTTGTAAATAACATGAAAAAAACATGTAAAAAAACCTTCTAATTCGGAAACCTTTCTAATCCGGCAACCTTTCTAATCCGGAAACCTTTGTTCCGGACGAGTTTTGATTAGACAGGTTCCTTTGTATAAGGTACATTGCTTCATTCTGAACTCTGTTTCTTTTTTTTTTTCACTTGCTTGCTTTTAAATTTTATCTTTGAAGATGTTTGTAATTTTAAGTAGTTGTTTTTAGAATTTTTATTTATAATCAGCCAAACAACTAGTTTTTTTCTCAAGTATTTTTTTATTGTTAGGCACTTTTCAACACTGCAGAAGTATTGTAGTGGTATCACTTGCAAAACGATATACAAGATTTGAGCATTCATTCTCAGATCATTTAAAATTACATAAAATTAACTATTTTTATGGACCATGTTAAAATTGCAGAAAATTTGCTATTTTTCATTGACCTTGTTAAAATTTTAGAAACAGAATTCAGTATGCTCAGAGAACATGCAAATTTAAAAAATCCAGACCTATATAGTTATATATATATAAAGGGAGATAATTACTCCAATTACTCGTTGATTTGTGAGATATGATAACAGAGAACAAACTCTATATATGTGAATGTGGAGCTTGTTTCAGTGTGTATTGCAGTTTGTGACTGTATATAAAGCTGTTCTGAAACCATCATTTTTGTGATGGTGGACGAGCAGTGGCTATGCTTTCATGACTGTTCTGCTAGGCGCTGTGCCGTAATTGGACTGGCATATCGATGTGGTGGTATGTGTGTATATATTCTCTCATTTCTATCAATTTATCTGCACACTTGTATCTTAAGTGATCCCACGCAGGGGAAAGTATAACTGTATTGAATTTAATTATCTCCCTTTATATATACTTTATCTGTCTAAATTCATTGTATCCTACGGATCTACTTGATCTTACGGGATCCAGTTTACTTTCGGAAATAGATATATAGTTCTCTGGTCCCAATCAGTGAAGAAGACAATAAAAATGTCATCGTTGATTTGTGAGATATGATAACAGAGAACAAACTCTATATATGTGAATGTTGAGCTTGTTTCAGTGTGTAGTGCAGTTTGTGACTGTATATAAAGCTGTTCTGAAACCATCATTATTGTGATGGTGGATGAGCAGTGGCTATGCTTTCATGACTGTTCTGCTAGGCGCTGTGCCGTAATTTGACTGGCATATCGATGTGGTGGTATGTGTGTATATATTCTCTCATTTCTATATATATATATATATATATATATTAAATTAAATACATATTAATATATATATGAAATTAAAAGGTTATCCCTCGGAAGCATTTATCAAAACAAAACTCTAATTTTTAGAAAAATCGCCGGCAACTTGTAATTTTAATGAAACATATGTGTTTTCAATTTTCTACTGATTAAGGGTTTATCTTTCTATGACGTCAGAATTTGACAATTGTTGTAATAATTAAACATCTGACTTTAATATAAAAAGGTACCTCAAACTTGTATGCTTATTGAAAAACAAATAAAATACGCATTAATTTGTTAAATGAGTGAATTCTTTAAAGACGCAGTAAGTCTCTTTTTAATTCTTTAGAAATGTAAAACATAAGCTTCATAATGTTAAAATAATTAATTAAGAACATGTGAGAAAATTAACAACTGAAAAAGGCATAATGGAAATTTAAATATTACAAAACATAATACATGTATTAATTACAATTACATACTGGTCAGGATAGCAAAATGGACTATGTTCGATTAAAGAATAAGATAAAATGAATAGATATAAGAATCCGAATCGTTATTAAACTGAATGAAATGCTTAGAATATTTAAAATCAAAAATATAAAAAAATAAGATCTTATATAAAAAATGAAATGAACTAATATAAGAATCAGAATCGTTATTTAACTGAAATGCTTAGAAATAATAAATCAAAATTATACAAAATAAGATCTTATATAACAAATTCCAGAGCCTCTGAATTCATGATCTAAGTAAAAAATGATTATCGAAGTATTCAAAAAGAAATAACTCAAAATAAACTTACAAATTAATGCAAAGCTCTTTCTTCTGTTCGAAAGTTCCACTCCTTTCAGTGTGACTAAAACCTTGCTTTATTGAAATAGATAAATAATTATCATGTAGTATATGGATTGTAATTCACTATACAGTATGCAATATTGTATTGATGGTGCAAATACACGTCGTATTCCTTATACAACTGTGACCACTTGTTATTTAGAGTACGAGGGTCCTGCAAGGAATTCCGTCTTTAAAACGATTTTTTTTCTTCAAAATTTTCAATTTCAAACATTAAAAGTATTCCCTATCACCGGAGTACATTGTGTAGTCTTTCCGTCGAATCATAACTAGCTGATAAATAGATTTGTGTCCTCTAACAAAGGCAATAATTCATATTTACAAATTTAATCACAAAGGCAATACCATTTACATTTGTACTTTAATTATATATTTGACAATCTAGATTATGTTTGAGAAAAACTACTGTCTAAACTAACGTTTATACCATAAAGACACATACCCAAGATCCTTTTCTACCCTGAAAATATATAAATCATTATTTAGTTGTGAAATTACCGAATATCATACATGTAAATCAATTTACAGTTGACATTTTACAGTTGCCAATTTACAGTTGACCTCTTTCACCTTACAGATTTCATTAAATAGGAAACGGATAAAGGTAATTATGTTTGTATGGTCCTGATAGATTGCACACAAATGTGCTGAAGATACGGGCATGTTTCTGATAATGAAATGACCGTTCAAAGTGTCTATTGAATAGTATAGCCAAAATGTTCTTGCGACAATATTAGAATATGCTTCCGTTATGTGGGGTGGATTTACACATCTATAGCTAGGCGCACCAAAATGTACAACAAATCATTTATACCTTCTGTAACTGAATAATGGAATACATTAGATACTGAAATTCGCCAAAGAAAATAAAAATACCCCCGTAGTACCTAAACACGTTTTGTTTGGTATCAGATATTTATCAGTTATGCATGCTCGTTTAAGAAATTATTGTATCAACTTACATGCGGACCTTTAAAAATATCATTTAAGAAAAAGCCTGACTTGTAGATGTGGGCACCCTTGTGAGGATGCCAAGCACAATCTATTTTGCTGTCCATTATTTAAACCTCAGAGATTCATATACTCCTTGCAGAAACTAAAATGTTTTCATCCACAAAATGTTGATGTTGATCTATTACTGTGGTGGATGTTAACAATAATGAACAAATATTACCGGCTTTCCAAAAATTTTATCAAAACTACTGACTGCTTTCGAAACACCTGATAAATGTGTAAATCAGTCAGTTGTATTAACTAAATAATCTGGTACCATAACAATTGACAAGCATTTTTATGATGGCTGTCTGCTCCTTTCTGACGATTAATCCTACATGCTGAATCCCTAACCTTGCGTTATTATACAAACAAACATTTTCTATTCTGTCTGTTCT